CATCTCTTGGTTCTCTTTTTTTTTTTTTTTTGCAGTTTTTGGCCAGGGCTGGGTTTGAACCTGCCACCTCCAGTATATGGGGCCAGCACTCTACTCCTTTGAGTTACAGGTGCTGCCATCTTGGTTCTCTATTCTGTTCCATAAATCTACCACTCAGTTTTTGTGCCAATACTGTGCTGTTTTGATTACTATAGATTTATAGTATAGTCTGAGGCCTGGTAGTGTCATTCCTGATTTGTTCTTATTTCTGAGTAATGTATTTGCTTTTTTCTGATTCCAAATTTAAAAAAATACTATTTTTTTAAGTTCTTTGAAGTATGAAAATGGTGATTTAATAGGGATTGCATTAAATTTGTAGATTGCTTTGGGTAGTATGGACATTTTAACAATGTTGATCCTCCCTGGCCATGAGCATGGTATGTTTTTCCGTTTGTTAACATCTTCAGCTATTTCTTTTCTCAGAGTTTCATAGTTCTCTTTATAGAGATCTTTCACATCCTGTCTTAGGTAAATTCCCAGATATTTCATCTTATTTGGCACTATTGTAAAAGAAATAGTGTCCTTGATTATTTTTTCAGTTGACTATTGTTGGCATATATAAAAGCTACTGACTTGTAAGTATTGATTTTGTATCCTGAGACACTGCTGTATTCCTTGATTACTTCTAAGAGTTTTATAGTTGAATCCCTGGGATTTTCCAGGTATAGGATCATATCATCAATGACGAGTGAGAGTTTGATCTCCTTTGACCCTATTTGGATACCCTTGATTGCTTTCTCTTGCCTGATTACAATGGCTAAGACTTCCATTACTATGTTGAATAGCGGTGGAGCAGTGGTCATCCTTGCCTCATTCCTGATCTAAGCAGAAAATGTTTTCAATTTTATGCCATTCAGTATGATATTGGCTGTGGGTTTGCTGTAGATTGCCTCTATCAGTTTAAGAAATGTTCCTTCTATGCCTATTTTTCTGAAGAATTTGATCATGAAAGGATGCTGCATATTATCAAAGACTTTTTCTGCATCAATTGAGAGAATCATATGGTCTTTGTTTTTTTATTTTATTGATGTGATGTATTGTATTTATTGATTTGCATGTGTTGAACCAACTCTGTAACCCTGGAATAAAACCAACTTGATCATGTTGTATAATGTTTTATTTTTTTTCTTTTCTTTATTTTTTATTAAATCATCGCTGTGTACATTAATGCTTAATGATTTTATATACAATTTGAAACATTTCATCAAACTGGTTAATATAGCCTTCATGGCATTTTCTTAGTTATTGTATTAAGACATTTATATTCTACATTTAGTAAGTTTCACATGTACCCTTGTAAGATGCATGATAGGTGTGGTCCCATCAATTATCCTCCCTCCACCCATCCCTCCTTTCTCTCCCT